ACCAATAGACAAGTAGAAAATTAACATGAATTATTCAAATTATAAAAAATTGAGCATACAGAAGATTCGAACAATAGCATTCCTAAAATTAGCTCTTACTGAAAAAAGTAATTACATAACTAAAAAAAAAAGGAATTAATAATAATTGTGCAGAAAAACCCTAAGCAAATTTAAGTTATATTCAAATTAATAATAATAATAATAATAAGAGAGGAGATGTGATATCATGACCAACTTTTCATATTTGAGCCCCTTATTTGGTAAAAAATGAATTTTGGAATAGTGAATTTTCGGAAAATGTGTGGTTGAAAAGTAAAAAAAATTACAAGTTTACGTAACATTATTTTATTAAAAAAAATGTGATTGAAAACGAGTTTGAAGAAAAATGTATTATTGAAAAATAGGGTTCAAACAAATGCTAAATTGATCAAATTCAGCATTCAACACAATGAGATCTTGAATAGCGGAATCCGAATTCCCATCTACTTTAGCATGAAGCTTCATGTACTTAATGAAGTGAGACATGGTGTTGGAACGAAATGGAATGTGGACAATGTTCTTGCCAGGCAACTCCACCGTAAGTCTAATCCTCAGGGACAGGATCACGACTTTTTCCGCGACGTTGAAATTTTGGTTATCGACGTAATTGATTTTGATCATTTTTAATATTACAGTTTTCAACACAGCTAATTTTGATCATTTTCAAATCACAAAGAGAAACTTTGCTGAGGGTGAGAAGTATTTTTGCATGATGGAGAGATGCAATACAAAGTTATGATCATCGCCTCAAGTAAAGGTTTTTAATTTTACAATATTCAAATGGTAATCACTTTTTAAAATTTTTGTTATAGGCTTGTTTGGTATTTCTATTTGCCCAAAAAAAAATAAAAAATTAGTCGATGATCGTCAACAATACGAACGATAGTTGGTAATTTGATTGAATCAATATCAGCTGTTGTGTTAGACAACATTACTAACTACGATCTATTGATTGCCATCTACACAAGCTAATCCGTGTTTAACGACAATGATGCTACCAACAATGTTGTCTATAACAATTGATTATGTTTCAATTGCCAACGAAAAGTCATTGGTGATTGTTGACGGTCTCATTAATAATGATTCTATGTGAATCAGTATAAATTGGAGATATAGATGGAATTATCGATAATTATATCATTGGTGATCATCGATACACCTTCGTTAGCGATTTTCGATGACTACGTTGTCATGATTTTGTTTGAAATATCGTCAGTGTCACTAATAGAATTTTATTAGTTCCATATTTTATAAAATCCTCACATATAACTTAAAATATATTTTCTTCTTTTGTCGTAATACTATCGATTCATAAACTTTTCTAAAATTCATCAAGTCCGACATTCATCTCATCTATGTCCTGATCAACGGCTTTCGAATTTGCATCCACAAGTGCATGGCGTTTCATGTATTCAATCTTCCTAAACAAATTCCGCGTAACGCTAATCCTCGAGGACAGGAAGGCTAATTCTTTCTCCGAATGTTTTTCTAGCAGAGGCATTAGAATTAACAAGCTTGAGAGGACCTTTCTCCATATAATAATCTCGGAGTTCCTTTGATTTCTCCAACATCAATTACTTCACCAACATGGGCGGATTTAATGGTGCCCACTGGCCCAGGTTCAAATGCACTAATTTTTTTTTTTCTTATTTGTCTAAATTGCAATCTATTAACCCGCATTAGCCCAGCAACAATTAATTTCAACAGGGTAGTCCACCTCAAATGTTTTTTGTTCTAATCTTTAGCCCACTTATTTAGGTAATTTTAGGCTCACTTATTTGTATCGATAGAG